GCAAATATATATTGAACAATAACTTTGCTGTATGTTCGTGTTGTTCTGTTCACTGTTAATGTTCATTAACTGTAATTTTACATATACTACTAGGAAGAAGTTCCCTCTATATTATTCTTTCCACTGGAGGCATCTTCCTCCTCATCACATTGGTAACAATATGTGCCTGCTGGACACCTTCCAAAAAGTAAGAATTTCTATCAGCTTTTTTAACCAAATCTAACTAGACTGATTTTAGAAAGGCATTATTACATAACATCAATGAATTGATGCCATTTTGTCTTTATTAGGCCAAAACATCCACCTAGAAAGCCTCTCTCCAGGTTCCATCACTCACCAATCAGTCACACGGGTATAGTATTGTTATACTTAATTAATATTACACTATACTGGAATAATCCCTTGAGAAATGTGTGTGAATGACAGCCCAATGTTTTGTGCTTTGCCATAGAGGACCTGCTTCCAAAAGAGCATAATGGAATAAATGCCGTAACTTCACTTTACATCCTGCAGCAAAAGGTATTTATGTCATTATCACTATGATTTTATTACATTCTGTGACTCACAAAAGGTAGCGAGACTAAATATCAAGCAACACTAGCATCCCCTGGAGGATTATTAGTTAGTACTGAGTGCTCGGAGTTTAATGAGCACCAGTGAGTGCTTTAAGGACTTTAATTCTGCCCTACATCAGTGATTCCCAATTAGGGGTTCTTGTACCCAAGGGGGTAATTTTGCTATTGCAGTGGGGTACATGGAGAGATTGTGAACAATTAATTAGATGTTACTGCAATTAAGAGCTAAGCTAAGTAAACGAGCTAAGGAGAGGAAATGGCTAGCTAAAAGTGAAGGATAAACTGTTGAAATAGATCACTAAAAGTAATCAATAAATAGTTGTAACGTCCAGCTCTTGTCACTCCTTGTAGTAGTAGTACGAATGTAAAATGCTAAAGCGAGTCCTCGTGTGTTAATATACTCGGCGTCCTGCCCAAGTAGATCTGTGATCTGTGTCAAAGACTGACTAACTTTCCTGTGAAATAAAATAAATGCGTCAGCTGATCGGCTCTTCTGATCGGCGTTTATAGAGATTGCTGATCAAAATGATCCACTTTTATATGAATAATAGTTAAATAACATCTCGTTTGTAATTGAATATATTAGCAGCATAGATGTTGGTGTTGATGAAGGGATACTTGAGTTCATCGTAATCATTGCCTTGCATTATTACTGGATTTTGTTTGGGTTGTACACAGTCTAAAAGAAATACCTTGCAGACGTTCCTCAGAGCTGAAAGAACATTAATGTATTATTAAGCCTGACAGGCCAATGAGTGTTCATATCAGGCAATCTAGGAGGCTTTTCAAAATTTATAAATACTGTTTTATAATACTGTTTAGGATCTGGGCTGAAGTCTTCTTGTTTTGCAGGATCCCTCCATGGACGACTCATCCAGCAACAGTATTGGATCTCCTTCTGAACTTGACAACCCGCCGTGCTACACAGTTCACGGTTCCCCCAAATACACTGGTTCTCAGTCTAATGGGTCCCCTGCCCGGTCCCCCCACAGGTACACCTGAAAAGCTCATCGGGTTTAACTCAACGCATCGCGGCAAGTGGAAGGTCAGACGTCCTACGGTATACTGCTCCTGACTCTGCAACTTCCTGTACATCCGCCCGGAGTTTGAGAAATATCTCAAAACTATTTCCTGGGGTTTTACAGTAATATCATTACTGCCTGTTGATCTGTTTTTATTAAAGGAAACTGTAACTTAAATATAAGTTGCTTTTAAGGTTAAGGACGCAGCCTGTAGAGAAATACCAAGGCAGTGTTTAAACAGCTTTGAAGCCTATATTTACCACTTACCACCATCATTGTCAGTTTCTGGAACTACAAAAGCCCAAATTTGGGAAATGGCATGAAGTCTGCATTAAGCTGAGGTGGGGTCGGTAAGATGCAACTGTCAAACTGTAGTGTGATAAAGATCCTTCTCTTTACATTTTTTTAATTAAAAAATCATCACCAAACAGGAAGAGGGTTTGTTGTTTGTTAATGTTAAAAAAAATATATAGTTTGTAAAAAATCACGCTCAGAAATTCTACTCTGTTACAGTGATACGTGTGATGTTTTCTGTAGTGTTAAATAAAATCTAGCAGTTTTACTTTGTAATATTTTGTTTGCTTTAGTTCTTCTACGTGATTTAATAGCATTTTCAATGAGAAGAAGGAAAATGCCAAAGGTGTAGTGCTGCCAGAGCGCACCCGAACGAGGAAATAGAATAATCGCAGTTTGCATAATCTAGTTAAAATTAATTTAAATTATTTTTAAAGGCTTAAAGATCCAGCCGTAACTAAAGCATATGGCATTCAAGAGACCCAAAATCGTCATATTGACATTTAAAGGTCCAGGAGTGTAACATTTAGGAGGATCTATTGGCAAAAATGGAATATAATATCCATAGGTATGTTCTCATTAGTGTATAATCACTTGTATGTAGGAATCGTGTTTTTGTTACCTTAGAATCAGCCGTTTTTATATAAAAAGGGAGCCGGTCTTCTTCAACGGAGTCTGCCATGTTTCTACAGTGTTTTATTTGAAAGGCAAGTGGTATTCAGTTGGTTGCGTTTTGCAACTTCACCACTAGATGCCACTAAATCCTACAGTACACAGTGGATCTTTAGTTGATTGATTCATGACATCAACTCATGTATTGAGTTAAGATGCAAGAAAAGCTTCCACTCCAGAACGCCTGCAGAACATGAAAGCTTGCTTAGCTACATTTTTCACAGCCTGTATTAGACGAGCTTGACCTCTGCATGGACTGAAACTCATCCTCAGAATGGATGTTCTGAATGCGGCTTCATTTTCTTTGCACAAGTAAGTAAGTGAAGTGAGTCAAAACACAAACTGCTTGTTTATACTATATAGCTTAATGCCACCCAAATTAAACCTACTATCTAACTACTATGGTATTGTCATAGGTGCACTTCGGTACTTAAACAAAAAGCACTACACCTTTGCACAAAGCCATGTTGGTGGAGGGGCCATGGTATTTAGATTTTATACAAACTTTAATAAAATGTGAAATTCTCAAAACTCAAAAGAATGTTTCTTGTAATATTTTTACTGTACTCTTCAGACTCCTTCAGTCTTTACATGCATCTTGACTTACAATAATTTAAATTAACCATAAAACTCCGGCCAATAGTGATTCCTTTCTCTGCCCTGGGCCCAACATACAAAAACCTAAAGGTCTCATACCCGAGAAAGTCTGTAAAGCCAACATGAAGGACAACACCATAACCCCCCAAATTCTCCCAGACACAGAGCTGATTGTGCCCGCTACAGACAATTCCACAACATCAACTCTGTAGCACCAGGCCAGACATCAGTAAGTCAGAAGCAGGTTGGAGGAGATTTTAAGCAGAGAAACTTCATATCTTAAAGCGGTAATGGTAATAAACATTGTAATGATGATATTACTTTATTGCTTTTTGTCAGTTTCAAAAATCAAGGTTTGGTGGCTCCAATGTGGCAGCAGCAAAACCGAACCTGAATGTCCCGAGAAAAGCTTCTCAGGTTAGTATAAAAGACAATGACTTCAGTTTCACAAAGACCTAATGTTGTTTGAGAAATTGTCGAACCTCGCCACCAAGAGAGTCAACATAAGGGAATGTGTCTGTCAAGTAACAGGCTGCTCATATAAGAGCACTCGACTGGACAGGCACCTGTAAAAGAGGAGATGGAGTTGTACCTCGATAACATCAGACAAGACCTTGACACTCCTGGCTGCCCTCAGGGCGACAGACCCATCGCGCCCCATAGCAACAGCCCTAGATCTAGAGGTCAAAGAAGTGAGGTGCAAGTCCCTTAAGACATCCAGGAGGGTCTGTGTGCCAACCATGACTGTGTGCCCGCACAATGGACATCAGCCGACAACATCGAGAAGTTTAAAGCTAAAACCCAAAAAATTGTGAAGGAGCTCGGTGCCAACAGGTACCAATACATGAAATTTGAAAAGCAGTACCGTCGGCTGGGGGGATTGGAGAGAAGCTGGCTAGCCCAAGGCCAAAGTATACATACACTCTCTAAATCGTCCAGATACCTATGTAAGCGATACTTCTTCAGAGGTTGAGTTCAATGTCATTGCTTGATTTGTTCGGGCAGAACAAAAAACCTTTTCCTCGTCCCGTGGTACAAGTGCCACCATCTTTCTTTAAAGTTTGAGTTCGATGTCATTGCTTCATTTGTTCGGACAGAAAAAAGATATTCCTCTTCCCGTCGTACAGCAAATGTCTCAATCTTTACATTTATTTGAAAATTTCCGCTGTTAAATGAGCATGTACGCAGACTAACACTGGTAGCCATTTTCCATGTTTAGGTCACTGTTAATTCCAGTGGTTTGCACCCATCTCGTCCCTTCGATAGTTCAGTTGGCAGAGCGGAGGACTGTAGGATGTTCATAGCAGGAATCCTTAGGTCGCTGGTTCAATTCCGGCTCGAAGGATCTGTATTTAGTTGGTGTCCTATGGTTGTATCTCATAATCGTTACAT